TAAAGTTTTTTTCATGATAGAAGGGTATTAATACATAGATGAATATATGTTGCTACAATATGTGTCATTTTGATGACATAGTTTTATGCTCTGAGTTAAATCTGGGTTTCACTATGTTTAGCTACAAAATATGGATAATACCTAACGACCATATTTTGGGGCCCAGTGACCACTTTGATGATATGAGATATCTTTGTTTAAAAGGATGACAAAACTCAATATGCAATTTTGTATAAGCAGTATGTAATAAATTCATAATTTAATACTTTTAATAAAGAAATATGAGGTCTAGAATAAGCTTATGTCTACTTGTTATCTGATTTTTCTATTTTAAAGAATGGGGGGTCTGCTGTTGTATACCGTTGGGCACTAATAATTGATCTGTTACAGATTATGGAAAGTTTGAATTCCACACAGTCTCAGGAGAAAACTGGACCTGGTGACATTGAACGGACTTCTGATGTAAGGTAATATTAGAATTTTCTTTTCAAATGGTTTTCAAGGGTACAAAAAGATTTTTTCATGTGATTCAATGTGAGCTATAAGAACTAAAAAGACAAGAATTAACGGAGTCTTTGTTTGCCAATAGTATTTTAAGGAAAGGAAAATGTTTAGAATAGAAAATCTACAATAGCACTATTGAAGGCAAATAACCATAAGAGTAGTTACGTGTATTTCTGTTTCTGTAATGGTTTTGGTTTTGCATTTTATAAGACTTTGGTTTAGAGATATCCAACCTACTTTTAAAATAAATGAAATCGTATCAATAGATAAAAGGCGTTGTTATAAAACAAATCAACATTTTATGATATTTGCTGTTGTTTGTAGCAAAGAAAATGAGAAAGATGGTGAATATACCCAGCATTGTGAGGTGAGTAGCTAACAAGACGCTAACAGTGATGGGTCTGTTTATGCATTTTATATTTTTGCTATTTTATAATTTAGTCAAACATGAAAAAATATGTATTGGCAAATAATAACGTGCATTAGACTTACAGTGGTACATTCCAAATGAATACGTTATGATTTTGCCTTTTTAACCTTTCTGCACACATGGAGGAAGACACACGTGATAAAGTCTTGTCATAAATTAACAGAGTCCCTTAGACCTGTGCCCAAGTGGCAAAGATCCATCTTATTTCCTTTTTCTATAACAAAAAAAAAAGAGGCTGCTAGTCTCCTATTGAGAAGCTCCTCACCCCCTCCCTCCCCCCAGCCCCCACC